AGGATGGTCTCGATCTCCTGACCTCGTGATCCACCCGTCTCGGCCTCCCAAAGTGCTGGGATTACAGGCTTGAGCCACCGCGCCCGGCCGAGCACTTTTCACTCTACGCAGAGCAGAAATAGTACAACAGCCTGTCACTTTCTTTGTGCCAAGAGGCCGAGAAATTGTATGCACATTAAAAAAAAAAAAAATCCATGAAATAAAGAGTTTTTGGATGGGAAAGGAGGGCTTATTTTATTTGTAGACAACTTCTCTTTGGGCCATGTTACCGAAGTATGTGTGGGGTGGGGGCATTCAGAGGGTGCTTTCTTGGAAGTGATTGGATCACTGGAACCCCAGGAGGCAGCAAAAAAAAGCTAGGGTGGAAAAAGACTTAAAAATAAGGATATCCCGTTTCCACCAAATCCCAGGAAAGTCTCCTAACATGGCCCATCTCCTCATTTTCATCTGTAAAGGGTCATGTCTGAAAAGAGCTTTGCAGTGAAGTTCAAACAGCTGCCCACTCACATTTTTCTAGCCCACAGACTGTTGTTTCCCTACCCAACAAACATCATTCCAGTGTCACTGCGATTGCTATCTCTGTGGCAGTAACAATACCCTGAAGACAAATCTTAGTCCAGGCGTTCAGGTTTTTACTAAGTCTCTTACTCATTTGCCTTCCGTGTTTCTTTTTACTTGGCTATTTAACATTCCCAAGCCTTGAGGACAGGGTGCATGAGCATTGTGTAATACTGATTTAAAGCTAATGCTCTATGTTGTTCTCTTTAATCTATATCTGTAATCTCTAGGGGCTCTGCCACATCAAGTGCCCTCACAGTCTCCTGAGTTCACAGCGACTTCCTGGCACAGATAGATGCAGCATCAGGGTCCTCAAAACCACCTCCTATCCCCTCCTGCGGTCCCCAGACTCGCCCCTTTCCTCCCTGCCCCTGTAGCCTGAGCCTGAGGTACAAACACGTGGAATCCATCTTGTTATGTAAGCTTCCTGGTCGCTGAGATGGGTGACTCAGTGTCGAGATGGTTCCTCACTCTTTCTCAGCCTCGGGCAGCATGCTAGCCCTAGCTAGGTCAGCGGCACACTGGAATGGAAATCTAGGCCTGCTAATGGGGTCCAGCTGAGTGGCTTTCATTTCCCAGTGGAGCCTGGTGAGCCCAGCAAGCCCATGGGAACCGTCCCGGAGCTGTTGCAAACTAACCCATGGGTGGAATTCTCCATCTTCCTTGCTCATTTCCTTTTACCTCCCCTTCTCAGCTTTGGCTAAAGAGCACAGATGGTTCACATTCAGCAACCCTTTGCTCTGCGGCTGCCACCTTCTTGGTTCCTGTTATGGACTGAATGAATGTTTGTGTCCCCCTCCAAATTTGTATGTTAAAGCCCCAACCCTCAATGTGATGGTGCTGGATGGTGGGACCTTTGGGAAGTGATTAGGTTTAGATAAGGTTATGAAGGTGAGGCCCTATGATGGGATTAGTGCCCTCTACGAGGATAAGAGACACAGCCAAAGAGGAAGATGTATGGTGACAAGGCAGCCACCTGCAAGTCACGAAGACAGCCTTCACCGGTACCTGACCATGCTGGCCCCTGATCTTGGACTTCTCACCTCCAGAACTGTGGGAAATAAATGTCTGTTGTTCAAGCTGCCCATTCCATATTTTGTTGTAGCAGCCTGAGCAGACTAAGACAGTCCCACTGACCCAAGTCCTCACCTCTAGGCTCCGGCGAGGCTCAGGCAGTAAGTGGTGCTGGTGTAAGAGGATGTGCTCAAAGGTTTTAACTCAATGTGAATACAAATTCTGTCTCCTCGGCTTGAGGTTCTCATCACAGAGTAGGAAATCCATGGATTGGGGACATTGTCTATAGAGAGGGCAGACCGGCTGATTTTGGTCTCTTGCTGTCTCTCATTTCCCTCCCCTGCAGGTATGTGATCATTTCTCCTCTCCCTTCCAGGACAGGGGCAGGTGCTAGCATCCTCCTGAGTATGGGACTAGGAGCCAGAAGGCCCCAAATTCTAGCACAGGTTCTGCCACTAACCTGGCATTAGGGGTTAGGCAGCTCACTCTTTCTCTCTGTGCCTCAGGGACTCGACTGTCATCTGCTTTTGAATTGTTACTTATTCCATTCATTAATGGAACCAGCTCTTCCTAGTGGTGGAGTATGGTGCTAAACAAGGTGGCAGTAATCCCTGCCCCCGTGGAGCCTGCATTCCAGAGTGGGGAGATAGTCAATGAGGAAATGGTTAAATAAGATAGCCACCAACCATGATGCATGCTCTGAGGGAGATAAGCAGAATGATGAAACAGATTAACTTGGAGGAGGTGGTAATTATTTAAAAGACTCCTTAGGCTGGGTGCAGTGGCTCACGCCTGTAATTCCAGCACTTTGGGATGCCGAGGCGGGCAGATCACCTGAGGTCAGGAGTTCAACACCAGCCTGGTTGACATGGTGAACCCTGTCTCTACTAAAAATACAGAAATTACCCTGACGTGGTGGTGGGCATCTGTAAACCCAGCTACTCGGGAGGTTGAGGCAGGATAATCGCTTGAACCTGGGAGGCAGTGAGCCGAGATTGTATCACTGTACTCCAGCCTGGGCAACAGAGTGAGACCCCATCTCAAAAAAAGTAATAGTAATAATAATAAAAGCCTCCTTCTGCAAGCTGAGAAAGCACAAGCCCATCAAACAGGGAAGAGCTTTCCAGGCAGAATTATGAGCTAATAGAAGCAAAAATGCTTGAAAAATTATACAGTGCAACACAGATAGCAAGCTTAATCTAAGTAAAAGTGCCTTCATTCTCTGCAGCTTTGCCTCATTCTTTGATTAGAGCCTGGAATTGGCACAGCTGCCTAGCACCTGGATAACAGTGTTAGGGACCATGAAATCACACAAGAGGCCAACGCTAAGGTTCTTGCTGGGCACGTGTGGTGGAAAGGTGGGTGGACTAAGTGTTCTGTTCTCTTTGAGGACCTGACGATCCAATCTATACAGAGAAACCCTTTACCTCTCACAGTCCTGCATCCCCAACTGCTTTAGTCCTTTGTTAATCCTTCTTTCAACATCCAACTGCCGTTTATGGAGCACCTGCCAAGAGATAGGGATCCTCCCTTCCTCTGAGCAGGAACTCAGGAAGTGATACCCTCCTCCCTATGTCACAGTCCCGGCAGAGGCCACTCCACCAGCTTGTTCAAATTTGGGTCCATGTTGGCTGTGGTCGGTCCACTTTGCTTGCTGTTTTGCTCTCCAGCTAGATCTCTCTGGGGAGTCAGAGGGGTCATCTAGGGATCACAATGTTTAGCACGCTTGTTTTCTCCCTGGACAAATGTCCAGAGGCGTGTGTGGAGTGGGCACGCAGCGAATCTCCCTCAGGAAATCCTAGTAGCAAACTTCACTGACTGACCAGCTGAGGAAATCAGCAAGGTTGGGCCCAGTGCTGATATCTGGGCACCTTTTCTTAGAGACAAGGGCACTGGACAGAGGCCACAATATCAGGTTTCCACTTGGTAAGCATGGAGCCTGATCTGCAGTTTTATATCTCTTAGTTGTGCTGCCCCTTCGGCTCTGACATTCTATAGCTGTGTGACTTTAGGGGGACAGTGGTTTTCTTTTCTTTTCTTTTCTTTTCTTTTTTTTTTTTTTTGAGACTGAGTTTTGCTCTATTGCCCAGGCTGGAGTGCAGTGGAGCTATCTCCGCTCACTGTAACTTCCGCCTCCTGGGTTGAAACGATTCTCATGTCTCAGCCTCCTGAGTAGCTGGGATTACAGACATCTGCCACCACACCCAGCTAATTTTCGTATTTCTGTAAAGATGGGCTTTCACCATGTTGGCCAGGCTGGTCTTGAATTTCTGACCTCAGACCATCTGCCCGCCTTGGCCTCCCAAAGTGCTGGGATTACAGGCGTGAGCCACTGTGCACGGCCAGGACAGTGGCTTTCAAACTTCAGTGGGTATCAGAATTTCTTAAGAGCTTGTGAAAATGCAGATTCTTGAACCTGCTGAATAAGCAGCTCATTGGATGGGGTGTGTGGGAATCCGCATCTTCCAGACTAATTTATTCCTACTCTCTGGCCTCTCTCTCATCCTCTAATACCCTCAACCCTTTCTCATCTCAGAGGCTTTGACATGGCTGTCCTACTTGTCTGAATGCTTTTTCTCTAGCTCATTCTGCTTCTTCAGGTCTCAGCTCAGATATCACCTCCTCTGAGAAGATCTCATGGACTTCTCTATTTAAATTGTCCTCCCTCATTCATTTTGCCTACCACCCTAACTTTAGCAATTTCATTTCGGTGTTTGTTGATTGTTTATTGTTTAGTTCCTTTGGTTAAGGACCTTGTTTGTCTTGAACACTACTCTAGCCCCAGTATTCAGCAAATATTTGCAGAATGAATAAATGAAAATGTAAATGAGGATTTCTCAAGGTCAGGGGCTCTCAAGTTTTAACATGCAACAGAATCACCTGGAAGGCTTTTTAAAACAAGATTGCTCAATCTTTGTTCCCAGAGTTTCAGATTCTTATTATCTGGGAATAGGGGCAGTTCTAAGAAGTTTCCGGGTGCTGCTGATGCTTCTTGTCCGGGAACTGCACTTTGAGAGCCACTGCATAAAATTAAAACTGCATCTGTATCCCATTAAAGTATATCCACTGGTAAGTTATAGAGAGGAGCCCAAGACGAGGAAGTTCAAATGAGTTGTCTCAAAGGTACTTGGAAAAAGTAAGGGGCTCCAGGACAACGCTAAGGTCTCTTTCCTCTTGGAGATCTTGGGTTTCTGAGATAAAAGACTGCTCCCCCTCACCTTTTTTTTTTTCTTCTTTTCTTTTTTTTTCTTTTTTGACTCTTTTCAGTTTATTGCATGAAGGAGTTACACTAGGCCCAGTTAAAAGCAGACCCCAAATGGTTACATTATACCAGCTGTGGAGGTTTTTAAACGTGTGACAAGGGACAGAAGGGAAATTCTACTCAGTGCAAGGAAATCCTCACTTAAGCTTCAGTGAGCCACAAGCACTTAAAACCCATGAACCTTCAGCTGATTGTCCTTAGCCAGTCCAAGCTCTACAAGGAGCTGGCATATGTTCTTGCGTTGGTCATCCTGTAACTGAATTGCTTCTCCATATTCTGGATGCTCAATTACAGTACCATTGCAGGCAAACTTCTTAAATGCCTTCACTAGTTTCTTTTTATCATAATCATCAGCAATCCCTTGGACAGTAGTAAGGGTCTCCCTGCCATTTCTCTGTTGAATTCCTATATGGATATAATCCTCAGTGCCAGCAGGAAGCAGGTCATCACCCTTACTTGCATCAGCAAAGGAGTTGAAAGAGTGGAGGTCCTGGATAGCGAACTTACGATACGATTCCTTTTCCTCGATGGAAACGGGCTGCGGAAGGCAGAGGTGGCGGGAGAAGGCAGGCAGCGGGGATGGAACGTTGGGAAGTGAGGGGGCTCAAAGGGGAGGCTGCTGACTGGACCCCTCTCCGCTTTTTTTTTCTGTAGAGATGAGACCTCATTATGTTGCCCAGACTTGTCTCGGACTCCTGGCCTCAAGCAGTCCTTCTGCCTGGGCCTCCTAATATGTTGAGATTATAGGTATGAGCCACCACATCCAGTCCAAAGACTGCTTTTCTGATGAGGAAGTTGTGGTGGACAAATCAGTCTATTCTTCTTCAGCTACCAGAATAAGAAAATCTTAGAAAATGATTCTTAGGCTCCCAAACTGAACATCCAACAGATCTCAAGTTGCTGTGGTGACCTGTGTTTCTAAATCAAGTCCTGCTTCCACAATTCCAAAAGAGTAATTACTAAATCAGAGATTAGGAAATGGGAAAAGAAGAAATTATCTTCATCCAAAGACAGCTTTTCCCAGAGTATATTCTGAAGAATATTAGTTCCATAATTAACAACAAGATGAAAGCGTTCCACGGTCCAATGAAATTCAGTGACACTGAAAGCCATATCCATTACTTAGAGGTACATACCTGCAAAGTCTCACAGTCCAGAAATCAGTTTAAGATAGTTAAGTTCCATCCTGGGCAACATAGTGAGACCTGTCTCTACAAATAATAAAAAATTAGCTGGATATAGTGGTGAGCACCTTCCAGCTACTTGGGAGGCTGAGGCATGAAGATTGCTTGAGCCCAGGAAGTCGAGGCTTCAGTGAGCCATGATCGTGCCACAGCACTCAGCTCGGGCAACAGAGTGAGTCCCTCAAAAAGAAAAATGTTAAGCTCCCTCCCGCCTTCCTTCCTTCCTTCCTTCCCTCCCTCCCTTCCTCCCTTCCTCCCTTCCTCCCTTCCTCCCTTCC